TATACCGCCATTTATAAACACTATAACGTTCATGTAAACCAATTAATTTACATGTATTGGGATTTTGTTTAGCAAAGACATGTAGCAGAATACATTTTGGCCTACATTTATGTTGAAATTTGATTTTTAAAATTCTTTTACTGGACATGTTTAATAGCAAAAAAGTCAAAAATATTGTTTTTTTCTTAAAATTATCAGTCTTTTTTTTTATAGCACAAAAAAAAAATGCACAGGCGATCACATACCACCGAAAGAAAACTCAATTTGTGGGAAAAAAATGGCTTACATTTCGAATTCCGCACCGCATCAGTGTGAACAAGGGCTAACTGTGTGCCTGGATGCAGGGCAACTGCTAGGGAAAAAAACTTTGGGCATCCTTCTAGTGGCTCCTAGGGAGGTAGTATTACAATGGAACAACATTAATTCAGCAATGTCTTCAGTAACAGAGGTAAACACTCTGGCAAAGTGGGCTAATGCAAGTGACAGTGTCAATAACATTAACAGCAGTGCAGCCTAATTACTGTGTAAATGGCCCTGTCTAACCATTGACCAGTAGTTTCAACTAATGAACAAGTGTGCAAGAGACATGTATGTACGGTATGTTTCTAATCTTGAAACTAACCTTCTATCATCGAAGAGGTTAACCAAGCAAGTATATGTAGTGACTTTCAGAGGTAACAGATGTATTATCACAAAAGGAAGCCACATACTTGCTAAAGGAAAACTCACATATAAAGTATCAGAAGTGCAGTGAAGTGGTTAATACTGTCAAAGAGGAAAAATAGACACCTCCCAATGTTGTCTTGGATTCAGGAATCCTGAAACTACAAAGAATCTAGCTGAAGTTCATTGTATCAGTGGCATAAAAATTGATTCATACGGTCAAAAAATAAAGTGCACCAACTGCATAAAAAGAAACATTACTAAGAAATTATTTTCCCAAAAGTAATAACAAAAGAGCCCAAAAGCCCCTGAACTTAATTCACTCAAATCTATGTAGACCTATGAAAGCTCAAACTCCAAGAAATAAAAGGTAATAACAGTGTTTTACCTGGTATAACAGGGGTATAGGGATCTGCTGCCCTCTACTGTTAGCTGCTAATATCATAGAGTTGTGTATAATTCAGTATTAGCACTTCCTTTCTGTGGGGGGAAAGTGGCTTATAAAAACCTGGACTGAAGACATGGAGAGAGGTGCTGACACCACATATCCACATACTGTAGCTGCACTACTGCAATACTGTATTTTATCCAGGCCAGAAGCAGAGACTATTAGGTAATTGTTCTTGTGTTCTGGCTGCTTAACTGTAGCTGTACACATCTTCTTGATCTGAATCCTAGTTACTATAAAGTCTCTCATCTATTATTATCTCACATGCACGGTGCCAGCGTCTATGCTATAGTATGTATGCAGTGGTCACCTTCCAATATATTAGTAGGTGAACCTATTTATTACAGTAGAGTTTATATGCAGCATCTGTTATTTTAGTTAACCCTGTGCCTTTTTGCTCTGGGATTCTACAGCTAGTTTTAGCTTATGGCTCGATACCCAGCATAGATTACGGCCAGGTTAGGCATCTGACAGCCACTTCTGGCATTTAGAGGTCCGATTGAATGTTAAATTAGAATCTACTGGGAAGGAACTAAAGCGCAGAGTAGATAGGCTGACTGTGAGTTCCAGTGCCGCACCATAGTTTCTTATGGTGAGAATCTGTGTTCCAGGCTGGTTGGACAACAGTTGGAGGATATATTATCTTTTCTTGTATAAAGCTTATATTATTTCCATACTGGTGGGCATCTGTATACTTTTGGTTAAGCCTATTGGATGTCTACACTCCCCATTGCAGACTGTTACTCAGCACGGTGTTGACCCAGCTGTTCTTTTATGATGTGCTTTGACTTTATTCTCGTTTGTGAGTACAACACCTATTTTATTTCTTATTAAACATTTTTTCTGGTAATGCACTAGGCCTGTGCGCCCTCTCTTTGTTCTTACTTTTGGTTAATGTTATATGCTGGTTGTAGTAGCTCCTCTGCTCCCAATTACTTTGATTAGATTATTGGTTAATACCCTAGGAAGGGAATCCCCTCTGTTCACAGACACCCTGTCCTGGGTGGAGGCACTGCCAAGTTTATTGTCAAACCCACTATTCCACTTAACGATCTCTTATTTACCAATAGGTTTAGCACAATATTCTGTTTGTGGAGGGACATTTGTCATACCCCCCCCCCCCCAAAAGAGGGGTACACAGAAAAAAACGAAGTTTCAGATAAACAATATTTTGCCCAAGTAAGCAACAGATTTAGCAAGTATCTAAAGTACTCCAAACAGATAATAGTACACAAGGTAAAACTTAAAAATTGCACTAGCATAGAACCACTGGGTTCTTCCCGGCCTGTGGTGCTGCGGGTGATGCATACAGCTAGCTATACAAGTGAATGGCTGTGCGTGGCCATACTCGGGTATAGGCTAATGCTTTTGTGCATCAGCGTATATGCAGATATGTCATAAAATAGTACCGCGCATATATTTCTATAACCTCATATATGAATTAAAGCATCCAAACCATGTGATTATGCAACAATAGTGAATACACTGAATACAACTTAAAAGTCCATAATGTGTGCTTGATCAGTGCATTTATAATTTGTTCCTAAATTATAAAAGGGAAAGGCAGTATTTGACCTATGCAATTTGGGTCATAAAAGGAGGTGAGAGTATATATGTATGTCTCTGGTGGAGGAGCACCTATAGGAATATATGTGGATATAAGCAATAAAGAGCACCTGTTTGTGAACAAATTATAAACGCACGGATCAAGCACACATTATGGACTTTTAAGTTGTATTCAGTGCATTCACTATTGTTGTATAATCCCATGGTTTGGATGCTTTAATTTAACGTGTGTGTGGAAACGCATGTGTCAGCAGCACTGGTATACACAGGAATTTGAGGAGTTATTTGTTGCACTGAAGTTTTATTTGTACACTTTTTTTAGCGTATATGCAGATGTTCATATGATGTGTTCCCCAAATGCAGAATATTTGCATTTGGAGTATACATCACGCATATGCTGATGTATGAAAGAATTGGCGTATACCCAAATGAGATGTACAGACATTTACTTCTGTCCACAGCGGTATGCACCACCTGTGCCTCCCCATGTGGGGAAATATTTCTTTATGGCAAGGGGAATTCAGCCAGAGTTTCTGTAGAGGAGAAAAATGAGGTGACATACGTAGTGCAGCAAAATGTGGAAGTGGCAAATTTGTGCTAACAGTATCTTAAAACTTCATCTGACTCACTGTGTGCACTGAAACATATGGCACTTTGTACCCACAAAATATGCTTTAATTACTATACCAGAAGCAAGAGTCTAACAGACATGTACAAAGCTCAGCACAAGCATTTGTAAAATATGAAGCTCTATTATTACATATGCTTTTCTGCACACAGCCTACCCTCATGAAGAACTTTAGCCTGTTCCCGCCGGCGATACACATATATGCGGTGTCTTGGCGGGTGGGCTTTAACGCTGCATATACGAGAGGCTGCATATACATGTCCTTATGTAAACATTTTCTGTGCACGATGCCTACTTGCAATTGGGAGCTTTACGATCATGTGACCGCTGTGACTGCCAATCACAGCGGTCACATGATCAGAATGCCAGCCTCCACCTCTCAGCTTTTAGAACCTTTTAAAGGGTCGGGAGGCAGCAGGGAGGGGTTAACATAGTGACTACAGAACAATGAGCAACTGTTGTACAATTTATCTTAAAGTGATACTAAAGCTAAAAATGTTTTTTTTACCATAAAGTGTTACTAAACCCACAACAGTAAAATCAGTCTGTATATGCAGTAAAGCATGCTTGTTATACTCACTGTGGAACCTAAAGGGTTAATCCTCTGCATTGTGTAAAAAGGCTGTTTCTAATCTGTTCCTCCCCTTTTTCAAGCGACCACCACTTATTTCCAGACTGAACCGTAGGCATGCACATGCTCAGTTTGGTGTATATTGCTAGAGAGGTTTTTTTTTTTCTTGGGAGAGTGCATGTGATCAGCACAGGGCCAATCAGCACTGTCCAGACAGAGGTCAGGGGATTTCCATCTTCCTAGAGCAAAATGAAAACTCCTTCTATAAGCTTTTACATGTGCTCTGCTGGACACTGATAGGAGTCACAAGACTGCCCTAACTGTTGATGAGAAAAGGTATTTAGCAGTTTATATTTACTAAAATAATTGCATTTCCATGTTCTGTGTACTGTGGGAGACCAGATAGAGTGAATGCTGGGTCCTGGGTTTAGTAACACTTTAAGACATTCCTTGCATTAAAGTGGTAGTAAACTCTGTTTTTTTTAATTTTACCTACAGGTAAGCTTATAATAAAGTTTACCTGTAGGTAAAATAAATATCTCCTAAACGGTGCACCATTTAGGAGATATTCTCTCTTCTTTTAACCACTAACCTACAGGGCACTTATACCCCCTTCCTGCCCAGGCTAATTTTCAGCTTTATGCCCTGTCACACTTTGAATGACAATTGCGCGGTCATGCAACACTGTACCCATATGAAATTTTTATCATTCTTTTGAGGACAGACAGAGCTTTCTTTTGGTGGTATTTAATCACCTCTGGGTTTTTTATGTTTTGCTAAACAAACCAAAAACCACTGAAAATTTTGAAAAAAAAAACTTTTTTTTTTAGATTTTGTTATACAATGTTGTAAATAAGTGATTTTTCTCCTTCTCTGGTGTGCACTAATGAGGCTGCAGTGATGGGCACTGATAGGCTACACTGATTGACACTGATAGGTGGCAATGCTGGGCACTGATGAGGAGGCACTGGTAGGTGGCACTGATGGGCATCGACAGGCATCACTGATGGGCACTGACAGGCAGCACTCATATATGGCACTAATAGGCGGAACTGACTGGCACTGATAGGCGGCACTGAAAAGCGGCACTGATAGGCAACACTGCTGGGCACTGATAGGCGGCACTGACTGGCACTGATAGGTGGCACTGACTGGCACTGATAGGCGGCACTGATTGGAAGCACTGATAGGTGGCACTGACTGGCATTGATAGGTGGCACTGAAAGGCAGCTCAGATGGGCACTGATATGTGGCATTGATCTGCACTGGTAGGCACTGATATGTGGCATTGATGTGGCACTGATGGGCACTGGCAGGTGACACTGATAAGCACTGACAGCTGGCATTGATGGACACTGACAGGTGGCACTGCTGGGGCTACACTGATCATTAGGGCAAACTGATCATCAGTGTCCTGATGATCAGTGTACATGTGCCCTCTGAGGAATGCCGATTACCGGCTCTCCTCTCGAGCTGTCAGCGTGACAGCTCGTGAGGAGAGAAATGCCGATAACCGGCATTTCCCTATTTACATGCGATCAACTGTGATTGGACACAGCTGATCACATGACCGAGCCAACATCTTCGGCTCTTTCCGTTGATTAGTGATCTGCTGTGTCAGAGGGACACAGCGCACCGCCGATCGCCGCGCTGTGCACTCCCGGAGCCGCGCATGCGTGGTTAGAATGGGAGGACATCATATGACGTCCTCCCAGAACGAGAGAACCGCCTTGCGCCCGTCATTACCTTATATGGCGGGCGGGAGGCGGTTACGCTGGCGCATGCGCTCTGAAGGAACGGCATATGCTTGCCGTTCCTTCAGAGCTGCGTACCATGGCCTGGATCTCCTGCACCCATGCATGGGAGTAACATCATCGTGGGCTGGCCTGTCAGATGGCCGGAACTCGCAAACCCGGAAAGAAGACAGGTGAAGATGAAAACCTCTACAGCGGTGATGGAGCGTCGCTGGAGGGCTTTGTTCTAAGGTAATTTTTACATACTGTGCTAGTATGCGATGCACACTAGCATATTATGACATTACCTTGCAGGAGACTTTTTTCTTTTTTTTCCCTTTACTGCGGTTTACTACAGCTTTAGGTTAAAAATGTTTTTATCTCTCTGCCCCCACCTGTGTGAAAGGGAAAAGAGGGGCCAATAGATCCAGCACTGTGCATGGCTGCATCTCTTCGCTCCTCTCTTCCTCTTCACACAGGGACTCAAACAGCAGCAGGCTCCTGCTGCTGTCAATCAAATTCAGTGAGGAGAAAGCAGTGGTGGGGCTAAGTCCCACTGTGTGTGTCTATGGAGCGCGGCTCCATAGACACACAGCTCAGGAGTGAGCAGACACCGTGTGCCCCCATAACAAACATCTTCCTATGAGGACACACTAAGAAGAAGAGGAGCCAAGATCGCCAGCAGGGTACCTAAGAAGAGGATGGGGGCTGCTCTGTGGTATACAATTGCATAGAGCAGGGGAGTATAACATGTTTGTTATTTTATTTAAAAAAAAAAAATACTTTAGTAGCACTTTAAAGAGTGCAAGTACAAGGGATATATAATATAATTTGAGTGCAAGGGTCAGGAGCATGTTATATACAGACCAGCATACAGAGTGCAGTCATCAAGATTGTGTCATATAAAGCCCAGCAAACAGAGTGCAATGGTCAGGAGTATGTCATATACAGCCCAGTGTAAAAAGTGCAGTGGTCAGGAGTATGCCCTATACAGCTCAGTATACAGAGTACAGTGGTCAGATAGAGTAACCTATTAGAACCATTCATACTGGAATGATAGGTATAACAGTCATATAATGCACTATTTATAGTGCAGTGTTTCTCATCCTTAGTGAGACCAATTTTCTTCTAAAGCCTTCCATTCCCCAAGAGCAAGGGCCCATTTACTTAATTGTGGTGAGTTACTGTGTCTTATGGTGCATGTTAAATTAAGCCAGTCAATTCAAAATACAAAAATGTATGGAAATACATATATTGCAATAACATACTTTTATATATATGCTTACAATAAAAATATGGGAATGTAAAATATGTCTTATCATACTGTTATTGTATAAGAATAACCCTTTTTGCCTGCGTAGTGCCTGCTATGCCTGCTTTGCATGTCTTTGGAGACTCTTGGGGTGGATTGGTCCCCACCTTATCTACACCCCTGATTCTGAGGTGAGAAAGCATGCAATTATGTTCCAGACAACTGTACTATATATTCCAAAACAAATTTGTGTTGCTAAGAGAATGAACTGCACTTCATGTGAAATTGGCAGAGGCATGCTGTTTGATGTGGATATGCCAACAACATACTGGGGAGAGACAATTATGTCAGTTTGCTATCTTAAAAATAACTTACCTGGAAAAGCATCAGATAAAACTTTATGTGAGCTATGCAATGGAGAAAAGCTTGATACATTAAAATCACGTTCCTTAACCATTTCCTGTCCGGCCCATGTATATAAACCACCAGACGGGAGCAGTGCAGGAGCAGGTGGCCATTTATAAATGTCCTAACGCATTCCCTGCCTATGCGCACTCCCTGGGAGTGTGCGGCACCACGATCCGGGGCACCGATCGCTGTACGGGAACTCTGTGTGAGGTCCCGATCATGTGATCACTGATTGGCCAATCAGTGATTATATGAATAGTAGTAAGCAAGATGTCATTTCCTGACATCATTGCTTACTACTAGTGAAATCTGTGAATGATCACAGAGATCACATGGTACAAGGCTATTCACAACAGCCTTGTACCATGTGACAAGCTGTGACCAATCACAGCTCTCACAGTATTTCTCCATGGCTGCAAGAATGCAGTCAGAGAGAAGGAGAAATGATTGCTTTTACAGCCTTTAAGAGTGTAAAAGCAATCAGTGTAAAAAAAATGAAAAAAATCTTCATCACCCCCCACAAGTAGTACAGTGTCACTATGGTGACACTGTACTGCTAGGGTGACAGTATGTTAAAAAAAAAAAACATAAATAATAATATAAAAAAAAATAAAATTTTTGGTTATAAACTAATTTGGGTTATTATTTTTTTTTTTACTAAAAAGATAACTGAATGCATTTTGGACAGGATTTATGAAGAAAGATTATTTATTTGCAAAATCTTATAAGAAAAACACTTTTTTTTCAAAATGTTTGGACTTTTTCATTTATATAGCAAAAAAATAAAAATCTCAATGGTGAATAAATATAAATATAAAACAGTGCAGCGCTAAAGATAAATATATACCACAAATAAATACAACCCCCCCCCCCCCCAGTGCACACAGGATTGGATTTATTATATTGATATTATTACTGGTTTATATGAGTGGTTTTCACGAGTGTCGATTAGGACACTGGCCACATGTACATTAATTATTCCCGCAAGGGAAGTCACGTGCTGCACTGTTTATATTGTACAACCTGTGTGCACTGGGGAGGTTTTTTGTATTTATTTGTAGTATATATTTATCTTTAGCGCTGCACTGTTTTTATATTTATATTTAGTCACTTCACTCATTTGGGTAAAGAGGTTAGTGCCAGCAGCTTGAGAGTTAGGACCCCAGTTTGAGCGCAGGAGGATTTTCTGTCAATGGTGAATAAATACCACCAAAATAAAGTTTTATCTGTCTCAAAACAATGCTAAAAAAATCATTTGGGTACAGTGTTGCATGACCGTGCAATTGTCATTCAAAATGTGATAGCGCCGAAAGCTGAAAACTGGCCTGGACAGGAAGGGGTGAAAGTGTCCGGACTTGAAGTGGTTAAAAAAGTGTATAAAATGAGAACCTTGTACTTGTCAGCTACAGTAAGGCTACTTTCACATTCAGGAGTTTTTGAAGCGTTTTTACGTTAAAAAAAGCACCTGAAAAGCTCAAGAAAAATGATTCCCTATGTATGTGAATGTATATCTATGTATGTTTTCACACTGAAGCATTGCACTTGTGGTGCGGTGTAAAAATTCCTGCTTGCAGCATCTTTGGGGCATGTTTGGTGAGTTAACTCCCAAAAAGCACCTCTTCCCATTGATATCAATGGAAAATGCTGGCAAAAATGCCTAAAAAGTGCTTGAAAAGTGCCTCAAAAACACCTATGAGAATTGTTTTTGGTGCGGCTTTTAAGTCACATGTTCTTTAAAAATTGCTCAGAAAGCGCGGCAAAAGTGCAGTAAATACGCCTATACGTTTTTGCTGTGTTTTTGTGGCTGATCAGTGTGAAAGTAGCCTAAGTCTCAAAAGGATTACAGAATTCTGCATCCAGACAGCAATAAGACAACAATCAGCAAAAGTATAATTGTTAACAAAACATCTATGTGTCAAAAGCCTCATGAAGTGCCACAGTCAGCACCATCTGAACAACAACCTAAGCAAGAAGCCCCACCAGTAATGTAGGAAAAGGAACAGAGCATGAGTGAAATTGGCGTTAGTGATTTATTTGTGAAAGAAAGAAGCTGCACCACCTGTAACTTCATTAAATCCAATAAAGGCATCCTTGATTAACGCTTGTCATATAAGCAATGTGGATTCAGGGGCGGACTGACCATTCCGGAATTCGGGCACTGCCCGAGGGCCCGGGATCAGTAGGGGCCCAATGAGATGCCCCAGGTACCTTTCATAGGACTTTTTTGGGTGTGGTTTAAGTGTGGGCGGGGACACAGGGGACCCATGATCCCCTATTGCCTGGAGGCCCATGAGTTGCCAGTCCGCCCCTGTGTGGATTGTAACATGCTGTGTATAAAGAAATAGTTTGACCTCCACCATGATTACTAGCTCTGACACTAGGGGATAGCATTTACTTCTTGTATTACATAAGTAGAACTGCATGATTATAATGTAATGTCCTGTTTCTGAATTCCTTTTTTCCAATAAAACAAGAAAGGCTCAATTACCGTATGTATCCAGCACCATCTGACTAGTAGGAGTCATATCTACAGCAGCTTTCCATCAGAAACTCTCTCCAGCCAGACTGCTACCTAAGCTATCCAGCAGCGGTGAGGTTGAGTCTAATGCAGGCCATACATCGGTCGAATTCCAAATGAGTTTTCTTTAGAAAATCGGAAATTTTGTACGTTTTGTAATCCGATGGTGCCACCGTTTTTGAAATTCAACCAACCAAGCCTTCAACTTTACCTCATGTTGCTACAGAAAAGAATTTTGTGGTCCAGAATTTTTTTTCTTTTCAGGTCACAGCTCATGCTCATTACTTTTTTGTTTATATTTCCCGCACAATTCTCCCATCGTTGATTTAAAATTTGTTCGTTATTCAAAAAATTTCCAGCATGCCCGATCACAAATTCAATGGTCACACAAAAATCGTCCATTTCTGTGACCCACTAATAGTGCGAAATTCGAACAAAAATTTTTAGAAAGATTTTTGAAAGAAAACTCTTTTGGAATTCAACCCATGTATGGCCGACTTAAGGGTGACCTAAGGTTTGGGCTGCACTGAATTTTGGCCCAGACCCACAAGAAACTGGCACATGATAGCAGGCCAATGGCTCAGTCAGCTGCAGCTGTAGAATTCCTTGCCCTGAAGCTGCATGCAACAAAGGGGTGGGGAGGCTGGTGACATCATTGACCTATTACAGCCACATGGCCATAGTTGGTCAATGACATTCAGCCGGTGGACTGCATCA